TTGTTTTCATTTCTCTTTTTTTGTATTTTTTGGCTTGATAATGGAAAAAACAGAATAATAAAAATTTATTATGTCACTACTTATAGACTTTTATGACTCTTTTAGTGATTTTCTAAAGACTTTGTAACAAGTGTCTTTGTTTTATTTAGGAGTAATATTAATTTGTGATTTCCATCATTTTTGAGAAAAATGCAAACAACTTCCATCTCTTTGATTCCATTTATCCCTTCTCAAAGTTTATACAGTTTTGCTGTGAATTCGAGTTCTCTATTTACACCCATGAAACGTTACACTGCTGTGATTCATTTGTATTTTTCTGTGTACTTGGCCTTTTCCCAGCTCTTCATTCTTTCCTCCATTTCTGAGTGTTTGCCTCAAATTGTTTTATTTTGTTTGAAGAACATCATTTGGGACAGATTCTTTCAGTTTCTCTTCATTCAACTTTAATTATTGAAAGACAGTTTTACCGGATGATAGAATTCTATTTTCTTTTAGCACTTTTAAGATATTATTCCTTGAGAGGCCAAGGCCAGCGAATCATGAGATCAAGAGATCGAGACCAGCCTGGCCAACATGGTGAAACCTCATCTCTACTAAAAATACAAAAATTAGCCTGTCATGGCAGCACACGCCTGTGATCCCAGCTACTTGGGAGGCTGAGGCAGGAGAATCACTTAAACCTGGGAGGTGGAGGTTGCAGTGAGCTGAGATCGCACCACTGCACTGCAGCCTGGATGACACAGTGAGACTCTGTCTCAAAAAAAAAAAAAAAAAAAATCATTCCATTGTCTTCTAACCCCCCAACAACCCCCCAGCTCCTGCTGAGAAGTCAGTCTCCTAGTCATTGCTCCCTCAAAGGAACTCTGCCTTTTCTGTCTGCTTTTGAGATTTCTTCTTTGTCTTCGGGTTGTAACTATTTTACTATAAAGCATCCAGGTACTGTTTTTTAAAATATTTCTCCTGCATAGAGTTCATAGGGCTTCTTGAATCCATGCCTAGATGAATGTTATCAGTTTTGGAATATTTTCTGCCACTATATTTTCGAATATTACTTCTGCTCCGTTTTCTCTCTCCCCCTCATATTGCAAATATACACGTTAGACCTTCTTACTACTTCTCCAATATCTCTTACGCTTGCTTCTGTATTTTCCTTCTGTGTATCTCTTCACGCTTTACAGCATGAATGTTTTTGATATTTTTTGCTTCACTAATTCTTTCTTCAGCTATGTCAAATCTGCAGATATATCTATCCATTGAGCTCTTCATTTTGTTTGGTTTAGTTTTCAGTTCCAAATTGCCCAATGATTAATAATTCTGTTTTATACCTTCTAATTATCTCTCAAAGTCTTCTATTTAATTTGCTTAAAGATAGTAAGTGTAGTTACTGTAAAATCTGTCTGATCGTCCCATGCTCTGGAGCCTCTGTGGGTCCTTTCTTTGTTGTCTGTTTTTGAGACAGAGTCTCGCTCTGTCACCCAGGCTGGAATGCAGTGGCTCACTCGGCTCACTGCAAGTTCCTGCCTCCCGGGTTCACGCCATTCTCCTGCCTCAGCCTCCCGAGTAGCTGGGACTACAGGTGACCACCACCACACCCAGCTAATTTTATTTTATTTTTTGTATTTTTAGCAGAGATGGGGTTTCACTGTGTTAGCCAGGATGGTCTCAATCTCCTGACCTCATGATCTGCCCACCTCGGCCTCCTAAAGTGCTGGGATTACAGACGTGAGCCACCGCACCTGGCCCCTGTGGGTCCTTTCTTTTCTGCTACTTCTTTCGATCGTTCTTTCTACATCTTATCCCTCCTCATGTGCCCAGTCATGAGGCTGAGTGCTGGACGTTGAATATGAAAGGAGATGGGCACAGCTCAAGGCCTGGGTGACAGTTCACACTGGGGAAGATGCACAGTTGCTTCTGGCAGGCGGCCAGGACACCAGCAATCCGGTGTCACCTTGATCATCGATAGAGGCTGGCATCACGCTCTGTAAGGGCGCATTAACCAGGTGATCCAGCGTCCCACAGTGGCTCCCACTCCCTGCCTGCCTCCTCCTGCCCCCATGCCACCCGGCGAGGCCCAGCAGCTGTGATAAGCACAGGACCGTGAAGTCTGGAACCAGGCAATGACAGCCATATGCTGCTATTTTCCACCCCCGACCTCCATAACCTCATGAAATATCAACACCCTTTGGCTGGGACGTGGGTAGCATTACTCTCCCATTCTCCAGAGCAGCTCACCTCAAAGTTATGTGAATTCTCCCAACACACCCAGCCAGTAAGTCGCAGAAGCCTTGCCGTGGACCCACACCCCGGGCGGCTGCTCTTGCACCATGTCGGGCTCTGCCACACCTGCAAAATCCTTTTCCATTCCTTCCCCACACATCGCTCTCCCATGCAGCACAGAGCTGTGGTCACATGCTCAGCACCCTCATCTGTGATGTGACAGCACCCACTCCCAGGCATGTGGAGAGGGTTAGACGAGCTAACACCACTTGGGGCAAGGTCTGAGTGGGTCCTAGAAAATCAGGAGAGGAACCATTGGCAACACAAGTGCTGGAGGACCGGGTCTCCTGGGCTGCGGAGACTGCCCACTGCGCCCTGCAACAGCCATGTCTTAGGGACTCAGGGCTGCACCCCACAGTGACCCCATGGCCCTCATGGGACAGGGTCCCCAGGCTGCCCAAGGGCCTGCCTTGTTCACCAGGGCGTGGCTTGTAATAATGACTCAGGAAAGAACAAAAACGACATACGCCGGACTCACAGGTGGGCCTCACGATTCACTATTTGGGGGCCACTGCCGTTAGAGCCGCGCTCTGCTGCCTGATTTAACACCTGGCTCCCCGGGTGTGCTGGGCCTGGGACATGAATTCAGTGTCCCCTGCTCCTCTGGTTGGGTGCTTCCTGCGCCAGCCTGGTGTGGGTCGAGGAGCAATTCCCACGGGGACTGTCTAGCAGCAACCACAGCTGGACCTGCCCCTTCCTCAGAGGATCAGGGGATTAAATGTGAAATCGCTTCATTAACATGCCCAAGAAAAGGCGCCATTAGATTTTCAATCAGAGCCTTCACCAGAGGCTTTTGACAGGCTCTCAGGGGCTCTGCTCTCGGCTCACGAGGTGCCAAGTTTCTGCATCACAATCGGAGACTTGGGGACAGCTTGGAAGTCACAGGCGTGATGGGGATGCAAGTCCCTGCCTGTCAGTGTCCCGGTACAGCTCCCGGAGGGAAGAGGTCCCCATGGCACAGGGTCCCCAGGATGTCCAAGGGCCTGCCTTGCTCACCGGGCGTGGCTTGTAATAATCACTCAGGAAAGAACAAAAATGACATACACCATCCTAGACTCTTCAGGACTCACAGGTGGGGCTCATGATTTGGGGGCCACTGCCATTAGAGGCGCACTCTGCTGCCTGGTTTAACACACTCAGGAGGATGCTCAAGACCTCCTTCCCCCTGGGGGTCAGCTCATCACGCGCTGAAGACTGTCCGCCCGAGTCGCACTTTGTCTTTTCTAACCTAAACCACCTCCACGTCCATCTAAGAAACAAGTCAGAGGAAGACACAGGTCCCTCCCTTCCCAAAGTGGGTTCCTTGGCACACCTGTCTTGCAAGCTTTCCATGGAGAAGGGTTCCTGGGTCAGACAGTTTGGGGAAACTTGCAGACTGTGTCCCACTCAGAGGCTTACACAGCACACGAGGCCTGAGGTTCTGGGAAACCCACGGAAAGGAATCTGCTTGCCTCTGCTTAATGCTTTACTTCCCGAGGGCCCTTTTCCGAGGGAGTGCCCATGATTGCTAGCGGCCGCCGCCTTGCATGGTGATTTCTTTTGCTCACCATACCTCAAATGACCCCACAGAGGTCTCATGTTACCTGGGGCGGGGGATCTGGAGGGGTTGGCACACGTTCTCTCCACCACTGTGGCCCCCCAGGCAGGCAGCTGCAACAGCTGGACCTGAACGAAGGCTGGCCTTCCTTAGCGCCCTCCCACAGCCCTCCTGGTTGCAGCTTCTTCAGCAGCCTCCACACCTTAAGGCTGGCATAGTGGCTGTAACCAATGCCAGGACACTCAAGGTGGATGGGACCTGGCCACTTCCCCATAAGGCACAGGGAACCTAACAGCTAGGAACTGGGGGATGAACACAGGTTGTTCAGGAGCCTGGTGCTGGATTGCTGGAATATGCGGGGATGAAAGGGAGTTCTCAGGACGGGGATAGTGAAGGCGCCCTCCCTGTCACCCAGATGAGCCAGGCAGCGGGTTAGAAGGAGGCAGAGTCAGAGGGCAGCTGGGATGCTGAACAGCAGACGTTTTATGTCTGTGTGAAGCTGTCTCTCTCTCTCTGTCTCTCTCCCCCTCCCTCCCTCCGTCTCCCTCTCCTCTCTCTCTCTCCCTCTCCCTTCTTCTCTCTCCTCGCTCTCCCAGCCATCTCTCTCCCTCCTTCTTCCTCTCCCTTTCTGTTCCTCTCCTCCTTCCTTTCCTTTCTCTTTCGCTCTCTTCTTCTTTCTCCCCTCCTTCTCTCCCTCTTACCTGTCCTTTCCTGTCTTCCTCTCTCTTCGTCTCTCTCTCCATTCCCTCCCCACTCTCCGGTTTGGCTCCTTCCCAACCACATGATCCTGCCTCGCTTCTCCATCCCTCCAGGCTTCAGAACGCCCTGGGCCTGGTGGGCTACAAACTTCGGGAGGCAGGAGAGATTCAGAATATGCAGTGCCCAGTTTGAAATGAAAATGTGGGGCCCCTTGTTCAAAAACATATGAAAAGCATCGAGACGTGGCATAGTGTCTGAACCTGAGGTGGGCCTGTGCACCTGCCCCAGGGGGCCTTCCTGCAACGATGGCTGTCTCAGGTCAGTGCAGAGGGCAGGGTGCTCGGCTGGCAATGACCGAGCGGCACAGCCCGAGGAGGAGGTGACTGTCCGTCCTGAGGGCAGCCCTGGGCAGAGGCTCTGCCCGGGGCCTGCAGGAGGAACTAAGACATCTAAAGTCCGGGTGCAGACCTGGGCGGTCACACCTTACCTTGTGTCCAGAGTGCAGGGACGAGGTCTGTGCGCCACAGCAGCCGTACCACGGCGTCCCATCTCTCTGCTGTCTGGCTGTCCGCGCGGTCACCGTGAACGCCACCCTGCTCGGAGGACCTGCAGCTCCCGGGTGGCGAAGACCGTCCCGTCGGCCCCGACTTTGAAGTCCACGCTGTTGGTCTCGTATTGCGTCCCCTTGGTCCCCACACAGCTGCTGAACTTGACTGCAAGAGGAGAGGGAGGCAGTCAGGATGGCCTGGCCAGCAGAAGGGTGTAACAATGGCAGCAACCATGCAGGACTGCTCCCAGGCCCCCCGTGGGCATCAGGGGCATGAGGTCTGCACTGATGTTCTCCACCTCCTGAGAGGGTGGTGTGTTTTATCTCAACCCCTAGAGAATTAGCCCAGAGGCCTTTAAAAAAGAGGGAAAAAACGAAAGCAACGCTGGCTAGAGCTTGGTCCGTTCTATCTACAAACACAGCTGCTCCCTTCCACAAATGCATCTCTCTCGCCCGCATTATCCGAATTCAGCCGGAGTCTTGTGGAGCAGCACAGTGGTACCCTCCAACCTCAAAAAATATGCCCTCGGTTCCCCCCACTCTTGCCTACGAAATTCTCTCCTGCCAGGGGAGACTGTGAAGCCCCTAATGGACCTGTTTCTCCACCCAAGAAGGAGCAAAGAGAGAGCTGGCAATCTGGGGACCGTTCCCGCCACGGCAGGTGGATTCTGGCAGCCGAACTGGGGCTTCTGCTGATGTTTCTGGTCCCTTTTTATTACTAAGCCAGAACTGATGCCTGCAAACTGCCTTGGGTGGGCTGGCAGATGCCGGCCAGGGCAGACCCTGGCCCCACCAAGTGCTTTCTTGGTGAATTGGAAACCGAGTTGAAGGCAGACAGTCTCTTGATACTGCTGGGTGCTGCGCATTGCTTCACTTGCAAAACATTACTAGGCACCAGGATGCCAACCTCCCTTCACGGCTCCAGCACCGTGGCCATCTCTAATTCTGCCGCAGAGGAAGACACCTCCAGAGGCGCAGATTCATCCGGACACATTAGTGCATTTTTTAGACATGTGCTTTTGCAACTGTCACCTACAGCCATGGTAAATTATGACGCGCCCACAACCCGTGTCACATTCTGCTGATAAAAGCCACGGATAAAGTTACCTAGTATTTATAAAAATGTGGGTATCTAAGCAATTATGGTAGGAGGATTGGTTTTTCAAGCAATTTTGCTGTCACAGCTTACATGATTTAATTACTATTTATTCGAGAAACCAAAAAAAAGCGACTCACTGTTACATTAGATAAAGTGTTTTCCCCTCGCGTTCACCTTTTACTGTTGCCTGCCTTGAAAGAATAAATAACGTGTCTGTTGCCTCGTCTCAAATAGTTCACTTTAGGTATCTTCCCAGCCAATGGCACCTCCCACTTGTGCGTTTCGTGTGAAAATGTTTTTAAACGTGATGACACCAGGCATTTCCACCCTGTCTGGTTCCACAGAGCAATGAAACTTCCAGACTCCAAGGCCCCCCCGGTGGCTCCTCTGATGGACGGCGGCAACCCAGGCAAGGGTCCGCTATGGCTCCCTGGACCTACTCCCCCTCTAAGGACAGAATCATTACATTTTGTTTTTCAAGTGACAGGAAAATTCCAAACTGCTTTTATAAGTACTGTTTGCCCAATGGTAAACAAGTTAAAATCAGCAACAACTTAGTGGATCAATCATTTCTGACATCCGATTGTCACTGACAAAGATAAAAATGACAGCTCTGTGATTGCTGAGAGATGAGCACAAATACACAAATAAGCCCCTTTGTTCTCTAAAAGCAAATTCCTAATAAAACTAATGCAATTTGACAGCAGCAGGAGGGTTTGTGTTGTCTTCAGGATTAAACAGTGTTGTAGTTAAAAAAAAGTACAGGCACCCAGCTTTGGCAACACCTTAGGCAAGCGTTGAAGCTGCTTTGAGAATGAATGGGCCACCACCGTCTGAACCGCCGGGCAGGAAACAGCGGGGGCGTTGGCCACGTGAACCAAGGACTTCGCAGGTGAAAAGCGTTGCCTGCGGGAGACACCCTGGATGAAACTACGACAGGGCCCTCAAAGGCAGCTCCGTGGGTGGCTTGGGGGAGTGATACCCAGGGGACTGCACCAGGGCCCCTGCACACCGGCTTCCTAGATTTTTGTTGTTGTTGTTGTTGTTTGAGCCGGAGTCTTGCTCTGTTGCCCAGGCTGGAGTGCAGTGGTGCCATATTGGCTTATTGCAACCTCCGCCTCCCAGGTTCAAGTGATTCTCCTGCCTCAGCCTCCCGAGTAGCTGGTACTACAGGCGCGCACCACCACGCATGGCTGATTCTTGCATGTTTAGTAGAGGCAGCGTTTCACCATGTTGGCCACGCTGGTCTCGACCTCCTGACCTCAGGTGATCTGCCTGCCTCGGCCTCCCAAAGTTCTGGGATTACAGGCGTGAGCCCCTGCGCCCGGCCACTTCCTAGATCTTTATGCCTTTTCTGTCTGTGTCTGACATGGCCCCGTCCAATCATGAGAAAGCTCCAGGGCTTTATGACAAGATGCAGTCCCAACGTCCCGTTTTGGTCTAACCATAACTTGGGTGTTCTGCTCAAAACACGACGTCTGTGTCTGAACACTCGGCCCACTAGCGTTTGCGATTCTGAGTCCTCATCCCAGAGAAGCAGGAGGAAAACAGGAGCTGCCGCTGGCAGAGAAGGAAGCAGCCCAGGGGACAAAGTGTCAGGACATGGTTATGCAAATGGTGCTGGCCCACACCCTCCTGGAGAGAGGCCGGGAAGATGCGGGGGTCATTCAGAGACCCCAGTGTTGGGGGGACCTGCATTCCAGGCGAAGAAAGGAACTTCAGAACCTTCAGTACCTGCTCCTGTGCCCCACCAGGCTGTGACCTCTTTCATAAGGAAAGAGCAATAAGGCAGGTCTTTGGCGACGCCAGAGGCATTCATAGAACATTAGCACTGAGTGTATGAACACTCCCTTTGGAAACTCTGAAATGTGGGTACCTGTGAACACCACTCAGAATGTTACTAACACTTTGCCATGCTATAGAAACGGCAAGTGAGTGTGCAGGGCAGCTCCAAGGGAGAGATGTCTGAGGTCTTGGGATGGGGACTCCTCCCTGTATCCTGTTTGTCTTTCCTTGAGAATTGCCTAAATATGTTTTCCCTCTTTACTTTGGCTACTGGGAAGCTCAGAGGCAGTACCGTAGCCAGCTTTTCTAACAATGCTGAGATATTTACTAACCTCAACACATTCCATTCTATTTTTCACCTTTGTTTCCTCTTCAACCTGCTTCCTTCCTCTTGCTTCCTTTTTAATTTTTGGAGTCTTTGCCTCTCTCTGCAAGGTTAAATGCATTCCAGGAGGACAACAGAAAAGTGCACATGTACGTGTGGGTGTCGGCACGCACCGAGTGTCCCCGTGTGCAGAGAGGATGCTTCTCACGGTATTGCCTGGCATAGACTTATTTGGATTCTGCTTTGCCTCTCTACGAACATGGTTGGAGTCTGAACCTGAGGCGTCGGCTAGAGAGGCCCCTGGCTACTTACAGAACTTTCTGTGGGTGCTTGGAGTCCTGTGCTGCCCTCGCCTCTGCAGCAGTCGGTAGTGGCCTGCTCTCTGCCTGAACCTTGGCTCTGGCCAGCACTGGGCAGTCTTTCCAGTTTCACCTTCTGAGCTGGGCCCGGGCTCCAAGCCCGCTGTCACTCAGCCTCCTCTAGGCAGGAACCTGGTGCCTCAGCCCCATCCAGGCCCCTCACTCTGGACTCTCCAGACTGGACACAGAGGTTGTGACTGGCGGTTTCTGGCAGAGCTGGCTCTGGCCCAGTGCTCAGGCCTGGCTGGGATGTTGGCTCCCATGGAAACCTGTAACCTGCCCCACCCCTCCCCTCACATCACCCATTTTTGTTTCATTCCCTGGCTTCATAACTGGGATTCCTGTGCCCTCCCATATCCTCCCAGGACTGATGAATGTGCTGAGGCCAGGGCTGGAGTCCTGGGACCAGACAGCAATCAGGCACCTGGTCAGGGTGAAGTGGGGGTGAAGCCTCCCCTGGCCGCTCCGGGACTCCTGTCAGGCTGAGGGCAGAAAGGGGGCTTCTGTCCTGTTTTGTGCTCAGCCCAGAATCCGCACGGGACCCCCCGCACTTCCCTCCCCATGGGAAACAGCCCCCAGAGGAGACCGCGTCAGCAGCCACCCAGCGGGAAGGCGAGTAACCCAGCAGCAGCACCCTGACTGGAAGTTTAGTTTTTAGTTTTCTTACGTATTTGTTTTTGATCTCCTGATTTCTCTCTTAGTCTTCAGGAGAGAATAAAAATCCAATGGATTCCCAGAAAACTTTTCCCTTGATGTACCAGCAAAAACCTACAATGCCCTGAAAAGCCGCCACTGCGACCTGAATGCAGATCACACGTACTGTCCCAGTCCCTGCAGCCTCCATGCAGCGGGTGCGCTGCCAGGCATGGGAAGGCAGCACCGGCGAGTGGAACTGGCCCATTTTGCAGATGAGGAAGCTGAGGCTCAGGGACGTTTCATGCCTTCGTCAAGGTGGTGGGAGGAGGAGTGGGATTGCCATGAAGGTGGTGGGAGGAGGAGCAGGGTTTGCCACCTGACTTCAGGGATCTGTCGCCCTCGCCCAGCAGGGTTGGTTCTTCCCGAGGCTGGGAGGATGCCAAGCCTGGTGGGGGATGGGGGTGGCGGTGTGGTGTGGGGAGCTTCTGACTTGCACATTCTGAGGGAACATTTTGCAGCTGATGTGTGAACTGGACCCCAGGCGGTGCCTCTGAGGAATCCCCAAGGTTATGGCCCCTCAGGTCCCACTGGGGTGTTGGCTCCCACTTCTGCCTCAGGATGCAGGGTTTCTGCAGGGAAGCTGCGGACCAGCCTGCTGCCTTGGGCCCTAGGGACGCTGCAGCCCCAGAAAGAATTGTGGGGGACAAAAGAGTTGTTTCTTGGGGGAGAAAACACCTGTGTGGAAATGCAGGTGCCACGGGAGGGAAATCCTCCTGGGGAGGAGGGCACCTGTTCCATCCTCGGCCAACATGGGACCGCCTGGCGCCTAGAACCCACAGCCGCTACCTGCCACGCACATCTCTCCGTGGTTAGATAATTGCTTCCATTAGTTTTAAACAAACTTGACAAGAGACAGAAGGGTCTGGAGAGAAATTAAATCTAACTGTTTAAACATGCAGACA